TAAATGTAATAATTTTATATTAGGCCCTTGTTTGTAATTATTTTCATTTTTTGGGCCCTTATTTGTAAATTCCCCTTATTTTTATCATTATCGCTATGAGTAATAGTAATTGCAAAACCATGTTCTTGCTCATAGTTATTTAGCCACTTTATAATAATAAAAGAAAAAGTTATTAATGTCAATATGGACCTACAAAACAAACACAAATTTACTTACTCATCTAGTTCTTTCCATCTTGCAAAAACCATATTCTTTGCAATTGGGTAAAGGGGTTCTGGGTCTTTTAATTCTTGGTTCTTATTATTTTCACTACTACTCTCATTATTCTCATACTCCTTATTTTCTTTATCACTGTTGTTAGTAAATCCATAATCATTTTCTCTAATACCCCTGTTGTTAAATTCATAGCTTTCTTCATATTCATCATTTTCTCTAACACTACTATTATTAAATCCATAGTATCTTTCATACTCTTCATTTTCTCTAGCACTTGATAATACACTAAACTTATTAAAGAACATTATTTCAACTAGGTCGCTTAAGCCAGTTCTCTGTAGATAGTGATATGTTTCTGGCTGGTTTAGAGCACTATAATGATCAATAATTTTAACAATTTTAGTATCATTCGAATCACTAACACTCAGAAATGATGAAATGTGCTCATTCATATTGTAATTCATTGTGCACAGAAATATTGTGAAGTTATTTAATAATAAATATATGAAAGAGCGAAGTCATTCTATAATAAACAAGATAAGTAAGAAAACAAATGTATCATATACTACACATAGATAAACAAACAAAAGTTAGATGCTGTGTAACATGCAATGTTATATGAGATTAAAAAAACTATGTAGCAACATGTGCAACATAATATTATATATATAATATAATTATAGTGGTGTTTTACATCACTAGTTTGATTTATAATTATTGAAATTATTTATCTATTATAGTAAAATTTTAATGTATTGTATTATTTTAAAAAAATATACTTGTATATATAATAAAGTTTATTTAGATGGATTAAAATTTCCTTAGATAGTACAAAAAAAAGAATTTAATTAGTTAATTTATGTAAACCTATTGGTTAAATTTATTTTATAATTTTATATCCCAATCTTTAAAATTTTATATTTCAATAAATTTTTAACCTATTTTAATAATTTTACTATTATTAAAATTAGAAAGACCTACTATACAATTTTATTTAATAATTAAAATTAGGTTACTTAATATAACTTTTTATAAAATTAAATATAAAAAAAATTTACTATTAGGTTTATATATAAATTTAAAATACTGCTCTTTACTCTTAAAACAGCACTTTATCATATTTATATATGTACTATAAAAAATTGTACTATATTATCTAATAATACTGAATACAATATTAAAAATCTATCTACTAAATTTTTTGAAGAATTCTTTAAATACTATATTGCATTTACAAATTCTGACTCAAGTTTAAGTTCTAAAATTAAATAGTTATATTCAATTTTAAATATTGCAATATTCAAATATAATAATGAATTCTTAGCAATCTTTTAAAAATCAAAACCAATTACCTATTTTTGACAACTTATAGCTAAAACTAAATTAGATTTTTAGAAATTAATAAACTTAACAAATCAAATTATTATAATATTACTTGTAAAAGTTATTACCTTTACAGTTATTTTAATATATATCTTAAAGCAGCTGCTATTAATGATCAAATAAATAACTTTCATCTTTATCAAGCAATTAATAAAATTATATCAAAACCAATAAATACTTACTTTTTAGATAGAGTAATTACCTATTTTTATATACTTAAATTTTTTAATAAACTATTTATATCTTATATCAGTAAAGTTTACAAAAAATGTTTTTATTCAAAAATAGAAAAAACATTACTTTTCAAATTTAAAATTTATTTCAAAGCTTCTAAAATTAATACAAACTTTTTTAAATCTAAACTTAACAAAACTATTGCAGAAAATATATCAAAACCACTTCTTACAACACAATCTAAAGAAACATTATCTAATCTCTTAACAAATCCTGATGATAATATTATAATATTTGACTTTAATGCAAATTAAAAAACTATTAATACTAATTAATCTAACACAAATACTAATTTTATTTTAAATAAAAAATCTACTACCTTACTATTTACAACTTTCTATAATCCTTTTCAATAAATTCTTTTGTAGAATTTACAAATAACTCTACAGAAAATACCTCTTCAAATTATTATCAATATTCTTAAACTCATATGATTTGAATATTTGCTTTAGTATAGTAACCTAGTAAAGTGAATAGGTTGTCAACCTTCAAATGGCAGGTCTAGAGTTCAAATTTTAGTGATAGCAAAAATTTGCAATTTTTTCTGTATTATAGTTAACTGTCTTCTGTGATTAGTTAGGATTAGATATCTGTAACTTATGTCATATTAGTATAACTGAAAGGTCTAGGCACTTGTACAACATTATACAAAGAAACACAAACTGGTACTAGATGGTGTAAACCCAAGATAAGTATTTAGACTATGTAAATCACAGAAACCAGATAGGAAGACAAAAGCTTACTTAAAAAATCTGAATAAAGAAATAACTTAAACTTTTGACAGTGCTACTATAAAGACTAGACTTATAAAATAGAGCTAGAACTTGTGAAACTAGGCAAATGTGCTAGTCTTTAAGAAGGGATCAGATGAACCAACCAGACTGTCAGAATTTTTATTAATATACTAAAAATAAAATTTTGTATTTTATTATATAATATAAAAATTTAAATTTTAGTTACAGGTAGTGTTATAGAACAATTTATTATTATTTTATTATTATTAATTATTATTATTATTATTATTATTATTATTATATTATTATTGGTATTAGTTATTTCATTATTGTATTATTATTATTAGTAGAAGTGGTCGGAACATTCCGGTTGATTAGTAATCACTTAGTCGCTTAGATGCTTAGTCGCTTAGTCGCTTAGACGCTTAGTCACTTAGTCGCTTAGTAATTAGTCGCTTAGTAATCATTAGTCATTAGTTGCTAGAACCTTCC